AGGTAGGGTAGGGGTAGGAGGGAAAGAGACCGGGGGAGGAGGGGGCCATCCAGGGGGACGCCTTAGGAGTGGTGTTGGGACTGAGGCAGCGGCGGGGGCGAGTGGTTCGCCAGGAAGGCTTGCGTCGGGAGCGGCAAGGGCGCGGCGGCGGCGGCGGCGGCGGCGGCGGCGCTGAGGTGGTGCGCCAGGGCGAAGGGATGCGGATGGCGCGAGCGCAGGTGGCGGTCGAGGTCGGACTTTTGAATGGCCGCGTACGGGCACGTGGGGCAGCGGTAGGGGCGCTCGCCCGTGTGCATCCGGAGGTGCCTGATTAGGCTGTCCTTGCGGCGGGCGCGGTGCGGGCACAGCGGGCAGCGGAACGGCCTCTCCGCCGCCGCCTGCGAGGCCTCCAGACATGCCTCGTCGCCCGGCCGCCAGCGCGCCACGGCGCCGGGCCGGCCGCCGCCCGCGGACGCGCCGCACCCTGCGCCGCCGCCGCCGCCGCCACAACGCCGCTGTGAACAAGAGCACACCATCAGATTCCGCCTCTCCTCCCCTCTCCTCCCCTCTCCTCCAACTCACGGCCTGCTTCCCTCCGTCCCTCCTCCACCCCTCCAACCTGCGTCATTTGTCCCTAATGCCCAGATTTAACATGTACAAAACTGACTGCGTTTCGCGAAGGGCGTGAGGAGGGAAAGGGCGGCACAAGGCGAGATCCCCTCACTCCTACCTCAATACATAGAGACAGAAATCTCAAATCATTTTTGTTTTTTTCTTGCTTGCATATGTCTTCTCAAAGCCAGAGACTGCACGACCTCACACAGCACTCACACTCACTCTCATTCTCCCTCTCCCTCTCCCGGTCCTCCGGCGCCTTCTATCCCCATCTCCAGGGCGTCTTAGGCATCGCCGCCCGAGGGGCTCGTGAACGAGTCCGTGAGGACGCCCCCGGTAGCGCCTTGGCGGGCAACAGGCCCCTGCCAGCTACCGGCGGCGGCAGTAGAGGGTGCCTGAGCCTGCGCGTAGGCGCGACTGGAGGCGCCGCCCATGACGTTGGCGAGGCAGGAGGCGCCGGAGACGGGTGGCCAGGCGGCCGCGGCGTCTTTGTGGCGGCGTCGGATGTGTTTGTCGACGTCGGACTTCTGGATGGCGCGGTAGGGGCAGAAGGAGCACTTGAAGGGGCGCTCGCCCGTGTGCGTGCGGATGTGCCTGGCGAGGCTGTCCCTGGTGGTGGCGCGGTAGGGGCACAGAGGGCACATGTGCGGCCGCTCGGAGGTGGTGGCGGCGGCGGCGGGGGCGGCAGGGGGGGCAGAGGAGACGCCCCCCGCGTGGTGCTGCGCCCCCCCCAGCCTGTGTGGCGCCCGGACAGCAGGCGCGGCCCCAGCCAAACGCGCAACGAGACTTTCGGAAAGGCTTTCCCACGCACGGCGCGCCAGGTCGGGGCCTTGCAGCTGCAAAGGAAGAAAACGCGGCGTGAGTTGCAGCGCTGGGCTCGGCCGGCGGGGGGGGGGTTAGTGGGTCGCTGCCTGGGCCAGGGTCAGCTGGCCTCAGGGCAACATTAGCAAGGCTTGCGAGAGGAGGTCCACAGACAAATACAGGAGGAAAGAGGGAAGAGTCACACAGCAGCTCCTGGCCAGCAGGCGCCAGGGCCGCAGGATAAGCTTTCGTGCGTCCGGAGGCGCCCAACACACCCTTCGAGAAACAGCCCCGCCCTACCTCGGCGCCTCCGGAGGCCCCCACGCGTTTCCTTCCTCGCGTGGCCTCTCCTCAATCCCCGCCCTCCTCCTCCTGCCGCGGCGCCCACGGGCCAGGGCAGACTGCGTGGGCGGGCTCAGAGGGGCCCCCCATGGGCGGCGTGCTTGCTCCGTTCGTGCTTCCTCAGGTCGGTGGCCTGGATGGCGGCGAAGGGGCAGAGGCGGCAGCGGTGCGGCCGGTGGCCCGTGTGCGTGTGCATGTGGCGCACCAGCTTGTCGCGGGCCACGGCGCGGTACGGGCAGTGCGGGCACGCGTGGCGCCGCTCGCCGCGGTGGTAGCGGAGGTGGCGCTCCAGGCTGGACGCCGAGCTCAGCGTCCTGCCACACAGGCCGCACACGGCGCCCGCGGCTCGGCCCGCGCCCACGCCCACGCCGCCGACGCCGGGGCAACGCTGCAAAGGAAAAGGCACGTCAGCTGGCTCGGATGCCTCGCGCCGTCGCCGCCGTCAGCGCCCCGGCGCCTCGCCTTCCCCTCCACCTCTCCCCCTCCTCTGCCTTCTTCCGCTCTCTGTTGCCCTCCTTTCTGTGTTCGCTTAATCTCTCGCTTTCCTTCTACTGTTCTCTCTCTCTCTCTCTCGCTCTCGCTCTCGCTCTCGCTCTCGCTCTCGTTCTCGTTCTCGTTCTCGTTCTCGTTCTCTCTCTCGCTCTCGTTCTCTCTCTCGCTCTCGTTCTCTCTCGCTCGTTCTCTCGCTCTCGTTCTCTCGCTCTCGTTCTCGTTCTCTCGCTCTCTCTCTCGTTCTTGTTCTCGTTCTCGTTCTCTCTCTCTC